CCGTTGCGAAGTCAGCCATCTCATAGAATATCACATTCACACTCTCAATGACCGTTCGCTTGTCTCTGAGATAGACTCTGTAAGCTTTGGACTGCTGTGAGTAGCCAATGAACACCCCTTCTTGGGCTTTTGCGTCTAGCTTACCTCTATCAGTTCTGTCATTCAGTACGAAGCACTTGCAGCCAAATATCTTGAAGAATGAGATATCCGGAGTCCGGTTGAAGAGGATTTCATATGGGGTCTTGTCGAAGCGTTTGTGGATAGATGTTCTGTTTTGGGTGTAGCACACAGTATTAATGGCCTCTGCCCACATAAAGTGAGGCAATCTTGATTGGATGAGCATGGTGCGTGCCGCTTCGACAAGGGTCCTGTTCTTTCTTTCAACCACTCCATTCTGTTGGGGAGTTTTGGCTGCTGCAAATTGATGTGTGATGCCGAGAGATTCATAGAATCCAGTGAGAGTTTGATTCTTGAACTCGGTACCATTGTCAGTTCTGATGATTCGAACACTGTGCTGTAGCAGTTTCTGAACTGTTCTGACAAAGGTCATAATGATTTCTGTTGTCTCGTCCTTTTTACGAAGAAATTTTGTCCATGTGTACCTAGAGAAGTCATCAACGATCACCAGTGTGTATTTGCGGTCGTTGATGCTTTGGACTCTCATAGGTCCACACAGATCCATGTGTATCAGTTGCAGCGGTAGAGTAGATGATGGGACTGGCTTTGACTTGTGGGAGCTTCGCGTCATTTTGCCCATTTTGCAGGCACTACAATGATTTTCAGCGGACGACTTCAACGGAGGAAGCCCCTTCACAAGTTTCTTCGATGACAGGATGGACAGATTCTTGAAATTGAGATGGGAAAGACGTCTGTGCCAGAGGTTGTTTTGTTCTGTTGAAGCTTTGGACAGCAGACAGATGGAAGTGGTGGATTGAACGCTTTTCAGATCAATAGTGTACAAGTTTGAGGTCCTGTAACACGTTAATAATGAGTTCCCTTCGCTGTCTAGAACACAGCATTGTTTGGCAAAGAACCTCACTTCCATCCCACTATCACAGAATTGTCCTATGCTCATAAGATTGTGTTTGAGCCCTTTGACAAATGAGACATCCTTGATGGTGACACTGGCACAGATGACATCCCCATATCCAAGAATAGGAGATGAGGCGTCGTTCCCGAATCTGACATTGCCTCCGTAACAGTTGGTGTAGTTGCTCAGTAAGCACTTTATTCCGGTCATGTGGGTTGAGCATCCAGAATCCAAGTGCCACACATGACCTTCCTGCAAAACAATTAAACAGGTTTAGGTACCCATCTTGGAATGGGTCCTTCCTTATCAATGAAAAACACCTTTTTAAATTTTGCTTTGAGCTGTGATCCAAGGTGAGCAGCTCTTTCAACAAAAGATCTATCTCTTGTGGGCTTTCCGATAGCCAGATCTGCTTTTGCAGTGGGTCTGATTTTTGGAGCCCACTTAGCAGTTTCCATTTTAGTTCTGGTGGGTCTGAATTTGGGGACCCACCTTTCCGTTTCAGTTTGGATGGGTCTTCGTTTGAGGACCCACCTTTCAGTTTCAGGTTTGGTAGGTCTCATCTTGGGGACCCACCTTTCAGTTTCAGGTTTGGTAGGTCTCATCTTGGGGACCCACCTTTCAGTTTCAGGTTTGGTAGGTCTCATCTTGGGGACCCACCTTTCAGTTTCAGTTTTGGTGGGTCTTATCTTGGGGACCCACCTTTCCGTTTTAGGTTTAGGAGGAGAGTAGACAGGTGCTTTGTGATTGAATGGTTGTTTCTTAAGTTTAGTTTTGAAAATCTCCTCTTTAGAAAGCCGATTAAGATGTTTCCTTGAATGAACTCTAAGAGCATATTTCATATCAGGAATACAAAACGTTCCCTTAGAAGTTCCTTTCTTGGTTTCTCTTTCAGGTTTGAGCTTTCTGAGAGGCTTTGATTTAACAACATTCGCATCACAGTCATAATTATGGGGGTCTGGAACAGAATAACCATAAGCAGTAGTAGAATTATACATAGAGCCATGTTCAAAAGATGTCACAGAATTTTTCAGCTTGGAACTCAAGACCGAACTACTAGAAGCTGAGTTTACATGGACAGACTTAGACTTAGTTTTAGAGTACAAAATGGAGCTGGATCTGGGACCAGGTTTATTCTCAAAGACTTTCTTCTTGCCAGCAGCTATTTCCTTTCTTTTTATCTCCCACTCTTCCTTCTCTTCTCCTCTTCTTTTCACTTCTTGTCCTGTGACAAAAGGAGAAGAGTGATGAGTGGCAGATTTTTCAGAAGATTTAGTTTTATCAGAAGAGGTTTGAGCAGTTTTTAAAACAGAATGATATTTTTCACTCAATTCATCAAATTTGCTTAACAGTTCTTGCCAATTGCTTTCAGAACCTTTCTTTTCAGTTTCAAAACGCTCTCTCTCATTGTCAAGGGTTTTCTGAAGATCCGCACATTTTTGGACCAACGGAGAGATGCATTTGTCCTGTCCGGACTTAAAAATTCCAGTTTTGGGAGTGGGACCCATTGGACATTCGAAATAAGGAACCCCTTTTGGGATATTAAAAATGTCAAACCCCTCCTTGTTGTAGATTACTTTTTTTTAGAAAGAGCTTTCTCAACCAGAGGAGTATAGTCAAAAGAAGTTTCAATTTTAGGATTACTCCTCTTCTCTTCTTCTTCTTTAGCGGTTCCTTCTTCACTTCCAAATTTCATTTTCTTTTCAATGTCTAGAGTTAAGTAAGTTGCATCATACAACTGGCGGTAGTCAACTTTCTTTAAATGACAAGGGTTCGGCATTCCAAGACCAACTTTTGGGTTGTAAGGTTGAACGTCGCTTATTCGATTTAGAAAAACTGTATGTTCGGTTTGGCCTCTTCTGACACAAACGTCCTCAAGTTCCTTTACTTTGCTTAAAATGCTGCTTCTTTTATTTCTTAAAAATTCACAGTCAGCTTTGGCTGTGTTTTTCTCAACTTCGCTGTCTTGCAGTTTCTTAGTCAGTTCAGCTATTTTAAGCTCAAAGCTTTCAAAGTCTGAGGACACCTTTTTGATTTGATCTTTGGCATTTTCAAGTTGAATGCTTAATGAATTTTTTTGGTCAAGGTTCTATTTCAGTACCCTGTAATTATTGTCTAATCTCTCCTGCAGTTCTTTAATGAGGTTGTCCTTATTGTGTAAGGACTGAGTTTGGATAATCTGAGAGTGATTAGAGGTACTTACAGTGCTTGTAGAGCATTCACTTCCGGGGATCGCAGCATCACCCTTTTTCTCTTCTTCATCCTCCAGCCTTGCCATCAATGCGAAGTTTTCTTCCTCTTCTTCTTCTTCTTCAGTATCATCTTCTGCCCACTGGACCAGCTCAGCATGTTTGCCAGAGGCTTCTACTTCCTCCTGTTTTGCCAAGAAGAGCTTTTGTTTATTCATCAGAATCTTCTGCTTGTAGAAGTTTGCATCTCTCTTCTTTGGAAGCCGACAGTCTTTGCTGATATGTCCAGCCTTCCCGCAGTTATAGCACACAGGGGTATTAGCAGTTGATGTAGCCTTCCTGGCTGAGCTTTGGTCCTGGTTCTTCTGTTTGTAGTTGGAGGAAGAGGTTCACAGCTTATTTGAAGAGCTGTTCCTCTTGGCAAACTTCTTGGCCAGCAGGGCCATCTTCTTCTGGAGATCTGCAAGCTTTGCTTCAAGATCAGTTCCTTCTTCATCACTCTCATCTTCATCAGATTCAACCTTCACTATCTTCTTCTTCTTCTGTAGAGGTTTTGCTGTTCTTTTGGGCTGAGCTTCCATCAACAGAGCCAGAGGATTTGGGCTTGATTGCTCCTCAGTGCATGCAACGTCATTGACAAACTCCTTTAACAGCTCATTTAAGGTGAAGAGATCAATCTCATCCATGTCGATGCGTTGTCTCAAGTCCTTCACTGTTTTACTCCAAGCTGGGTGCAGACTGGACAGAAATCTAGTATTCAGTTCCAGGTTGGTTCTAAATATTTTGATTTTCCTCATTTCATTCATCAGCTTCACAAGTCTGGCATGAGTCTCGTGAAGAGGTTCTCAAGGAGCAGCCTTGAACGAGTCATAAGCCATTAATATAGCAGATTTCTTGGTTTTTAGGCTTATGCTCGTGCCTTGGAGTAATTTTTCAATCTCATCCCACATTTCTTTTGCGGTTTGCATACTGTCTATCATTACGTACACTTCATTGGGGATGGCTTGGAGGAGGTATGTCTTGGCCATAAGGTCTCCTCTCAGCCTTAGCTTATCTGCTTCAGTGTATTCAGACTGCCTCTTTCGTCTTGTTTCCGGAGGAATGAGTGGATTATTAGTTGAGTCCCCTCCTACCGCAATCATCAGAACAGCTGGTCCTTCCAGGAGCGATTCCAGCATTGCGTCAGAGTTTTCTTTGTGCTCTAAGAAGTTCAAGAAACGAGTTCTCCACATTTGGTACTCCCCTTTCCTCAGAGATGGAGGAGTACTGCTGTTTCCTTGCGCATTGGATTCAGAAGCCATTTCTGTAGCTGTAGAAAACTGACCGTTCGAGAAATAAGATCGGAAAATTTACTAAGTCAAGAACTCGAGTTCCTGAGTATTAAAGGCCTAAACTCGAGGTCTGGGGAACTCGAGGTGAGAGTTCGAGTTTATAAACTCGAGGTCAAGAGTGCGAGTTTTCAAAACTCGAGGTGTAAACTCGCAAGGTCAAAACTCGAGGTCAGACTGCGAGTTTTAACTGCGAGTTTGCGGACCGCGAGTTTGTAAAGCGAGTTCTTGAGCTCGAGTTCCTAACAGCGAGTTTCTCAACTCGAGTTTGCAGCTGCGAGTTTATGCGAAAAACACCTGGACTGCGAATTCCTGAAAAAATAAAACTTCAGATTTTCAGAAAAACAGATATGGTAAGTTGTAGCCCTTGTTGTAGAGATCCTTTCACCCAAGTTTCAGGTCAAAAAGCTGCACAAAGCTTAGAGAAACCAAGGGTGCGAGTTCCTGGATGCGAGTTTACAGAGAACAAGAATATGCGGAAACGAATAAGGAAGATATACTGCTTGATCGTCTTTGAAACGCGATTCTAACAGTATAACTTTTACAACATTTGGTGCAGAAATTAGATTACAGATGATAAACTCGCTATTCTACAAAAGGAAGGAAAAAAAACAAAGTCTTTCGCAGATAGTTCTTCTGATCAGCTCTCGATCGGCTCTGATACCATTTGTTAGTCCCTGTTTTCTATAACAACAAGATAATATGACATACAGATGAAAGATTAACAACAAAGATGAACACAGAAAGATCAAGCGTAAACCTTCTCTGATATACCGTGAACAGTTCGTACAAGAATGATAAGCACTAAGGCTATTTTGAGCAGATACGAAAGTTAACCGCAAACCTGAGTCCTCCGCCATCTTTTATAGGCGAGGCTCAAGTATGCGTAAAATAGGGCTTCTCGCCTAAGTATGGGCCTAACACTTGGCCCATATTGAATAATATTCTAACAGATATATTTAATCTGTGCAGAACAGGAATAGTAAACATCTAAATTATTACAGACAAAACAGACAAACTTGATTCACAATAAAATAGTCTTCAACAAAGTAGGATATTTTGTAGCCTACTTAGAGAGGACAGTAGGCCACATACATTCCACTTGAGTAGGATCATTAGGATCTGGATAGAAGCTCAGCGGCTTCTTTAAGTTTCTGTGACCGGGTTTGGATTGGGGTGGGTACAATTTGGAAGATAGAGGTTGTGATACGCTTTGAAGCAGTTTGTAGAAGTTCATGTTCTTTGTTGGTAACTTTTTCCAGTTTCTTACTGATGATTTCTGAAAAGTTGGTTGTAATTGGTTGAGTGGATAGGGGAACGTCATCATTAGAAACGTTTCCGTCCTCTGAAACAACTCTGATCGGATTCCCGGACTTGTCCAGATCATCCAAAGACTTAATTGGGGATATGACTGCGATCGAAACAAGGGTAGATGGAGAATGGGTGGGTAGAAAGGGTTGGGGATTTTCAGGTGAGAAAGAAGGGTCAGGTGGGATAGGTAGTAAGGGTTCTATATTTACAGGCGAGAGATAAAGGTCAGGGGGGATGGGTTGAGGAGGGGAAATGGGAATATTGGCATGCACGGTGGGAGGTGGATAGAGAGTGTTGTTTACTAATTGGGGTGGGTGTGGGTTGGGGGAAAGGGGATCAATATTAGGGGGTACGGGGGGATGGCGAGGAGTTGGGGGGGAGGAGGGTTGATAGTATTGGGTGGGGTAGTGATTGTTGTAGGATGGACAGTTGAGGGGATGGGGTGAGGGGCAATGGGCGGGTCCGAGGGGGTGATGGGCATGTCGGATGGTATGGGAACAACCAGGTGGACATCTAGCTGAGAGGATGAGGGTGGTGCAGGTTGTGGGTGGATTATGGGTATCAGACAAGAGGGTACAGGTTGTGGACCAGGCTGTGACAGTCCATCCTCGGGGAAATCGGGAAGGGTGACCGGAATAGAAATTTCCGCCTCCCCTGGTGGAGTTATTGTGGTGTTTGCCTATGAGGGCCCTGGGGGTTCGGCAGAATTGCCTTTGTTACAGGTAGAATGCCCAAGTTTTAGGCAATAGAGGCAGTACGGGGAAACCTCCTCATAGATGACCTCTTGCTTGAACCCCATGGAACCATTTTGGATCCATACCTCATTAATCCTTTCGGATGTAACGTCTATTTCTAGACAAATACGGGCATGGGTTGGTCTGGCAAGAGTAGCAGTGTCCTTGTCAATAAGCAGCGGTTTGCTGATAAGATTTGCGATGGACATTAGAGCACATTTATCGAATAAGTGCCCTAGAAGGCCTGGAAATGATAACCAAGTTGGGGTGACGGGAGATTCAATACCTGGAATGAAAGTTGGAGTCCATTTGGTGATACGCATTACCAGCCCATCAAAGGACCAAGTCTGCCATAGCCAACACTTAAGGTAGTCCTCCTCCCTGTCGAACCAGAGAAGAAGATGTTTTGGAGCCATAATACCAATAGAGAACGGACCTTTGAAACCTGCCTTACTGAAGTAGGTACGCACCACAACCATTTTTAGCATTCCATAGATGAAGGATCCAACGAGAGCGAAAGGGAGTTTGTCCGAGAGGGTGTCCACCTCGTCTTGTGAAAAACTCACCGCCGGTAAACCGTTGTGAGAGGATGGAGATTTAAGAGGGAAAATGGGGTCCTTTGGTTGGGAAAGGATTTCGGCCATGGTTTTGTTCGGAGATAAAGGGTTGAATATTCTATTTACTGTGGGGTGTGATTTGGTGGCCAGACTGGATGACCTGCGAGAAGCTGCCTGGAGGAAGGTTTGGCCGGGCAAAAGGCTACATGGAGGAGGTCCCAGGATACCCGCCGCCGTGGAGTGGGCTGGGACAGCTGAAACCTTCCCTGCACCATCCGTGGTCTGGGAGGCGGTTGTCGGAGTGGAGGCCGGAGGTGCTTGGGGCAGTTTTGGTTTGGGCTGGGTAGGGGGTGGTTGACCTCCCAGCGGGGGGAAGTTGGAGTACAAGGTGGTGGGCAATCCAGCGAGCAGTGGGCTGCCGGAGTTCATGGTTGTCCGGCCAGCAGTGGGCTGCCGGAGTGAGATGGGGGTAGAGAGAAGGCAGACCTTCTCTATCTAAAACTAGAAGCGATCTAGTCACATTTCTCTTTGTTCTTATCTACTTATATAGTTATATATATATTAATTATCTATTTATAAATACATATATTATATTACTTATATTTGTTATCTACTTAATCTCTACTTATTATCTACTTATTATCTACTTATATCTACTAAATACATACATATTACAATTTATATCTACTTAGTTAGAATTGTTAGAATTTTATTTCATTAGTTCAAATTGTTTTTATAAATTAATATTTGTTACATTTTTAAGATGGAAGGTGGTAGATATTCGGTTGATATGGGTAACCTCGAGCGCAACCGAACGAACGAGCTTGCAAGGAAGAAATCCCACAAAGGTAAATGACATATTGGCTCTTCATCTCAAAGGCGAGATGATTTTTATACAGGTTACGCAAGGAGGGATGGGGATGCCATGACCGACGAACAACTAGAACAAGAATTGCACCGACATAATGGTCGGTTTTTCCAAGACCATCCGAGGACCATTGACGAAGAAGAGCTCGAGGATGACGATGTGGAGGAAGTAATTCCGGAGAGCCACGACGGCGACGTGGAGGAGGGTAGCGGCAGCCACGACGCCGACGAGCCTGCCTCATCCCAAACAGGTACGAAAAAAGTAGATCTGAACTAATGCAAAATAATTTTGATAAGTGGAAGGACCCGAACACCGGGAATTGGAACACAACTTGCAAGTGGTGCAAGAAAAATTATAGCTCGGGGATTTCCGGCAGAACACCCGGTGGAGTATGCAAAATTAGGCGGCGGAACAGGGAAGCAAACTCAAATATCGAGATTTGCAAATAACCAACAACCTTTTGGTAATTTCTCATACAATGATGCACAAAATTTGACAGGTATGACTAACTTACTTGTTGAAGAAAATTTGCCTTATTTGTTTTCTGAAAGTCTTGCTTTTCGTGATTATGCACAAACTTGTTTAAATCCTCAATATAGAGGTTATAGTCGCAAAACGGTTAAGAAAGAAGTTTCAAGGCTTTATGGTGCGGAAAATGTAAGGTTACAAAATTATTTTGCAAACTTTGATGGGCGTGTTACTGTATGTTCTGACATATGGGAGGATACTTATTATAATTTACATTATTTGGATTTGACTGTACATTATATTGATAATGATTGGAATATGCATAAACGTGTTTTTGCTTTTCGTGAATTTAATGATCGTCACACCGTTGAACATATTTATATTTTGATTGAGCGTATTTTAATTGAGTATAATTTAATTGATAAGGTGTTTGCTCTTGGTTTTGATAATGCTACTAATAATACTGTTGTTATTCCTAGATTGCGTTAAGTGTGTGGTTCTACTTCTTTGATGAGTAGATTTTTTCATCAACGATGTGCATGTCATGTTATTAATTTATGTGTGCAAGATGGTCTAAAAGCGTTAGGAGCATCTTTGGAGGTAGTCAAGAAGGGGATTAGACGTATTTGGGGTAATGGTCAACTTAGAAAAAAATGGCATGATTATTTGATAGAAAGAAGTGAGAAATATGTGGCTTTTCCTAAAGATTTGTCTATTTGTTGGAATAGTACTTATAAGTTAATTGCAGTTCTTCTTAGATATAAACAACATTTTCGTGCTTTTATGAAACAATATGATAACTATATTATAAACTCGGTTGAGATCGACACCTGCGAAAAAAATTGTAATGCTTTGGTATATTTTAATAATGCAACTGAAACTTTTAGTCATGTTTATAAACCTACCTCAAACCAATTTATTCGTGAAACTGTTAATCTCGCCGGTGCTTTTTCAAATTTTGAGAATGCCAATTATGTGAGTTATTTTGCTGGTTTTATGAAGGAAAAGTTTTTAAAATATTATTCACATATTCCACATATTTATGGTATTGCATTTGTTCTCGATCCTCGTTTTAGACTTGGTTCTTTAGAAGAATGTTTGAATTATTATTATGCTGCTTTTTCGGTCCAATGCCAATGTATGACGAGAACTCAATTGATCTGAAAAAAGAATACAACGAGGTTAGTGATATATTCTATGCATTATTTAATGAGTTTCATGCACAATATGGCAACACGCCCCCTCCCCCGACACAACCCTCTTCATCTAAAGGAAAATCAATTTTGAAATCTACATTTGTCAATCTTATTAAAAAAACTAAAACAACACCCGCTACTCAACAAAACGCAATCGATGAGATTTCTTTGTATTGAACATATGATGTTGATTTTGAAGAAGATGATGACTTTGACGTTCTAAACTGGTGGAAGGGAAAAGAAAGAATGTTCCTGGTTTTAGCAAAGATGGCTAAGCAAGTGCTATCAATGTCGGTTTCAACAGTTGCAATGTAGAACGAGGTTGGTGCAGAATCTCTTGAGATGCATATATCCTACCACGATTGGTTGAAGGCAGCCCGAAGAGCTCAAGAAATTGACATCACCCCATCCCAACACTTTATGGATGAATCTACAACCGAGGGTGGCTCTACCTATTACGGAGATTCCGATTGATTAGTATTTCATGTTTTAATTTTACCTTCAATTGTAACTTGTAAACTTGTAGTTCATATTTCAAATAAATTGATGGAGTATATGGGTCTAGGACCCAGGACCCACATACTCAGAAAAACAGAAAGCACAAGCCACTACGCAGCGCCCTCGTCGGCCAAAGGACCCTCGTCGGCCGAAGAGGGACCGACTCAGAATATGCCCCTGAAGCCAGGGCACCAGGGTGTACTCATCGGTCGTGCCCTCATCGGCCGTGCCCTCGTCGGGCAGACCCTCGTGGGCCACGGAGGACTCGCAGAACTAGATTTTACACTTATTTATTTATATAGCCCATCAGTTACTTTGTATTCGGTCCAATAGCGGTCCAGTTGTAAATGGGCCTCCCAAGCCCAAAGCTTGGGAGCCCAACCCGTATTTTCCTATAAATACTTCCTCTGGAGGTAGTTATGGGGGTTACAAAATCATTCTATTGAAGCATTTACTTGCACTTCTCTCTCTAGCTCTCACTTCTCTCTAGAATATACTCTATCATTTAGTGCTCTCGTTGAGAGCCAGAACAATCAAGTTAGCACCCTCCGTCGCTACCAAGCACAACTAACCACTGATCATGGGAAGAACTAAGTCAAACCGCAATCTCATCAGCAAGGCCATCCCTGAGGATCAGGAGACCAGGGAGCATGAGGAGGACGCCACGGCCGACCAGGTCGGCGGAGGGGACGTCTTCCAGGAGGCCATCAACCTCACTACGGACCTCTGCAACCAGCTCAACGGCGGCGCCCCTGACGCCCGCATCAGCCTAGACAAGAAACGCGCGGAGAAGAAAGACCACGCCCCGGCCCAGCCTATGGCCGCGGCTTCTCCGTCTGTGGATCCACAGGTCCAGGCCGCGTTGTCGGTCATCATCGCTAGCCTAGCTCAGGACCGGGGGGAACGTCACTCCACCTCCTCAGCCCCAACCGTTGGCCGTCAGGTTAGGCAACGATGAGGGGGTGATGGCCCAGGACACGACGTCATCCCACTCCCACCCCGCTTCCCCTCTTCGTCCTGGGCAGACCCCAGCGCGTGGAAAAGCCTCTGCCTTCAATAGGCTAGGTGACACGCGCCGTCGTCAGGTTTCGGAGAGGATGGCAGGGCGGATTGGTGAGCGTCGGTCTGGCTCACCAAGAGAAAGCTTGGGGTCTGTGTCCCGGACAGCGGACCAGCCCCGCCTGGACAAGAGCAAGGGAAAGTTGCACGAGGACGACTTGCGCCACCAGATCAATGCGGCCCACGATGAGCGCATGAAGAACCAGCAGGGCGCCGCTGCGGCCGCCAGGGATCCCCGGGACGAGGTTATCGCCCAGCTAGAAAGGAGGCTGGCCCAGATGGAAGCCAGGTAATCGGCAAACGTCCCTACGGCCGGTGCCTCCAACGATCCTGGCCTCAACGCTCTCATGAACAAGGTCAACGCCCTTGAGAGGGAGTTGGCCGAAGGGCGAGGTGACCCCGTCATCCAGGTCAGGACCAGGACCCCTTCACCAACAGGGTGCTCTCGGCCCCCATCCCGGAGAAGTACAGGGGAAACGCCATCAAGTCCTACGACGGCCGATCAGACCCCCAGGAGCATTTCAGCCGCTACCAGAATAACATGCTGATGGTGAACGCGTCAGACGAATATCTCTGCCGTTGGTTCCTCTCCACTCTTGAGGGGCCGGTGTACGACTGGTTCAACGCGCTTCCCGAAGGAAGTATTGACTCATGGCAAGACCTTGCCCAACGCTTCCTCACCCACTTTGTCGGGAGGAAGCGTGGGAAGAAGTATTTCACCCATCTCCTCTCCGTCAAGCAGCAACATGACGAACCCCTCCGGTCATTCATTGATCGGTGGACGAGGGAGATCGAAGAGGTCGAGGGGGCCGATGAGCACACCCTCCTCGTCCTATACCAGGAAGCCCTCCGCAGCTCCCCGTACACCAGGAGCCTCATCACCGACCCTCCGAGGTCGTATGCAAAGGCGCTTCAGCGCGGGAGCTTGTACGCTGACACCGACAAGCTCCACAACCACAAAAAAGAGGGAGGCCATCCCTCCAAGAAGACAAATCCTTCGCCGGCCCCGGGACCATCCCCGGCCGGCCAGGGTGCCCAGGGCCGTCACGGCTCTGGTGGACAAAGCAAGAAAGACCGCCACTGGCGGCCGAGGTTGGAACGGCCGGGGGTCCCCCTCACCCACCCGGTCAGCACCATCCTCGACTACACCGAGAAGCATGGCCTCATTGAGCAAGCTCCTCGGCCGGTCGAGGAGGTCCTTGCCATCCAGCAAGGCGGCACATACTGCCGATTTCACAAGAGCTCCTCACACAACACCGACGACTGCATCACGCTGAAGAAAGCCATCGAGCGCCTTATTCATCAGGGGGAACTCTCCCAATTTGTTAAAGGTGGCCCGCGCAAAAATACATTGGTAAACACCGGTAAACCT